GAATGGATGAGGTGGTTGATGATGGCTAACTTGTTTTAAGATTTATAGTGGAGGGCTTTTTTCCATTTAGTACACGTAGTCTATTCAAAAATGTTTTTCTTTTCTCATTTCTTAAAGTTGCCAAAAGAATAAATCCCCCCCAATAGTTTTATATGATAAATATGGTACAAGCCTGTTTGAATTTTTCTATCTTTTTTTTTTTTTTTAAATTAAATGTTAGTTGGATTTTTCCAGGGATGTCCAAACTGTGCCAGGAGTCCAGCAGTTGCTTCTAATATGCATACATTTTAGCTGTAGCATTTGCTCCTGCTTTCAGTACAGAAGTGGGACCTCTGAAGCATGCAGGCCCCAGTTTTTAATGGTCCATCTCTGCCCACCAGTGAAGCAAATGAAACCGAGCATTTCAAGTGGGTATTTTAATCTGTGCAGTGCAAAGGTTAGTATGCTGAAGCTGTCAAACCCCATGGATCATGCTTGGGAGAGAATAGGTTCATTATATTTGAGTATTTTTACATTAATTTGAATTTCTTTTCCTTTTAAGATTTCCTTGAAATGTATAGTTTAATTCTCAGTGCATTTTCTTTTCAAATGTTCACCAGGCTCAGTCTCAAGGAGCAATTACATTTAAAATTATACCCAGTGTGAAGGAAGAAATGCCAGTGAAGGAAGGCAAGGTAGGCAAGACTATTTCAGAAGCCATTGCAGTAACAGTTATGCTGAGGACATGTATTGTTTGCTTGGATGACAGAACCAAGAATGTGATTTCTGCCTCCGGACTGTTTTTCTAATGTGACAACGTGTAGGCACTGTACACTTCAATATTCACGTGCTAGATTTACAAGTGGGTGTAACATGGTTCTTAAGCCCTAACTCTACAGCCATGAAGTTGACATAGGTAATCTTTGGTCTTCTGCAAGGACCTGGCTTGCTTGCAAGTACTCCTTGTCTTCCATCGTACACTGGGTAGAAGACACTTGAGAGCACCTTGGTGCAGAAGTGTCTTCTTTTCTGTTCCCTGAATGGGCACACTATTCACCTGCAAAGTCCTATTTGCCATGGATCATAGAGCCCTTACTACATTGGGATTGCAGTTGCAGAAGCAATGAATTTAACATTCCCTTATGAATTTCTAATGTTAGACATCCATAAGGAAGTTTTACAGCAGTAAATGTTTATTGCTTTACATTATTTAGCTCAATGGTTTTGTACTGTAAAAGTGAAAAAGGGAGATACCTTTGGATTACATTTAATACTTTGATTCTAAAGGTAAAACACGGTTTGTTTCAGATGTTTATCAGAGCCCTATTTGACTATGATCCTAATGAGGATAAAGCAATTCCTTGTAAAGAAGCTGGACTTGCATTCAGAAAAGGAGATATCCTTCAGATCATGAGCCAGGATGATGCAACCTGGTGGCAAGCCAAACACGAAGGTGATGCCAATCCCAGAGCAGGCTTGATCCCTTCAAAGCAGTTCCAGGAGAGGTGAGTACTGAGAACCATAGTTTCATTATTTTTTGTAGTAGAAGACACTTATTTGCCGAGTTGTTAAGTTAGCATAGTTGTCATATGTAATGCCCATAGATTACATGGGTATGATAAACCTGCATTTGCAGCAAGACAACTGAACTTGGAAACCTGTTGCTGAAATACTTTGGATTTCCTTATTTGTCTGGCTAGGATTAATAATGACAAAAACTGATAGGATAACACTGATCCAGATTGAAAGGAAAAACATATGGAAAATAGCACATCAGTATCTGTATTCACACTGATGTACTATGCAGGAGTAAGAGCTGCAGCAGGTTTTGGAGAGCTTACAAAAGCTGAGGATTTAGTTTTTTAGATTGTGAATTGATTGCACTGTTTTAAGTTAATTTCTTGTAAAATCTTGTGAATATTTAGCAATAGTCTCAAGATGTTAAGTGTTTATTAATCCCAAACTTGCAGTGAAAACTGAGGAGTTTGTGTCTTTCCCCTACCACCTCCCATTTTACAGGAGATTTGCACTAAGACGACCAGAAGTGCAGATTCAGCCACTGAAAATTTCCAACAGAAAATCATGTAAGTTTGTTAACCTGGAGTAGAAATCATACCCCTGATCTCTAACCCTATAAAATAGCAGTTTGTTTCAGCCCTGTGACTACAGGATGCATTTCTCCTGGGCACAATAGCTTCTTGATCACATTGTATCAGTAGGAAAATAAACATAAGAGCTGAAATTAAAAGCTTTAAAAGCAGCTAACAGTTTTTCCCAACCCTCTGACTTTGTTTTTGAAGCACTGAGCCCGATTAATGTTCTGATATATAATATTTCGAAGGTTGAAGAGTGTTCTTTTCCTGTTGAAATAGTACAGAATTAGCTCAACAGTTTCTATAATTTGAACTGCATCAATACAGTGAAATTTGTATTGAGAGTGAGATAAAAGGTCAGATAGTCTCCCCTTCTCTCCCCCAGACAGTTGATGATTTTTTTGTGTCCTATGATGCAGCACAAATTTAAAAGTCAAGATGTTCAGTTCTTTGACAGGCTTTCACAGAACCAGTTCTGACTTTTTTAAAACAAATTAATTCTTAATAGTCTCTGCTTTTAAATACAGTAGCTACACAATATAAGAAAAATAAGCTCTAAGAACGCGCATACATCGAAACAAATATTTTCTTTCCACTGGAATTTACATCAACATCTGGTTTAAGTATTACTGCATACTTTACTTGACCTGTTATTTCTTTCAGTTGTACAGACTCATAACAAAGTGAGTACAATGTAAGAAACTATCATGCTTCAGTAGGATCTAAATCTTAAATGCAAACACGTTTGTGAGTTCAACTAGAAATATTCAGAAAGTGGTCTAAAATTTCCAACCATCTTTCATTCTCTAACATTAAAAGAAAAGGTATGGATACTGTGGCAAACAGTGGACGCTGGCACACTAAGTGCCAAACTAAATGCTTTTAACGTTAAGTCTCTCACCAAGGTTTCTGTTGCAATTTTTCTAACTCCTTGCTATGGCTTTTGTGTTCTGAAGTTTGACAGTTTTCTAATAATCTGCATTTTCTATCTTTCATTCCATTTCACTGTTTGATTGCGTGCCCTAACACTATTGTTAACTCCAAAGTGCTTGATTAGCTTTGTAATTACAATAACAGACTATATGATTGTGCTATAGCTTTTCTAATTTACATAGATCTTAGAAACAAAGAGGAGCTCCTCCAGCTTGTAGTAAATCTATTGTTTTTCTAGGTTCTAGGTCAAATTGCTCTGCCCCAATTTTGGAAAAGTGTCTGATCCCAGGGTATATCTATTTCTCTGTCCACTGTTCTTGAATCTGGATAATACCCTTAACAAGAGCCTTCAATTAATGTGGCACTGGTGCTTTTGAAGAGGTAAATCAGCTGCTGCAGCAAAACTACATGATTCCTTTTGTAATGGACTGCATCTTTTTAGTAACCTTCAAGTGAAAGGTTTTACAAGATGCATCTCACCCTTCCAAATTGGCAGTCTGAACTTGATTGGGAATTGCCAAAATTACAACCCAAAGACGACCTGCAGTATGTTGTCTGCTATTGTTGTCTCTGCTGTCTCCACTGACTTTGCCTTAACTAGCTTAAACAAGGGAGAACAGTTCCTCTCTTCCTCCACTTTCCTTTAAAACATAACAGCACCTTAGGGTCAAGCAGTGTACATATTAGCATTGTCTTTTAGACTTTCTTGAGACAAAGCAAGGTCTGGCTAAATACCATCTCGAAGACAGTGGTGCCTCTTGAAGGAGGAGAGACTGCAGAGTAATGTAGAGTTATCATTTTCTCTTTTCCTCATTTCTTAGGACAGTCTGCTGCTACATCTGCCAGATTTCCATGGGAAGAGGGGGAGTGTTGTTCTAAGTAGAGGTCCATCCCTTTATTCAAAGACTAAACATGGTTTTAATGCTGGGAGGGAATTCAGATCCTACATAAAGGGGGCATTTTAAGGACAAGAATTCAGCTATAGAAAAGACGTCACTAGGATGTTGCTTGAGTTGCTCTCAGGAAAACCTTCCACTTGCCTGGCTTTTCAAGAAGATTCCACATAAGCTGGGAAACTCTGTGCCCTTGTGATCTTTCTAAAGTTAGGCAGCTTCTTTGTGTTACCAAGCATGGCAGTGAAGCTGTGAGATGCGGAGGCCATATCTGTATTTGTGCAGAGCAATCAACTTGCCAAAACTGGGAGATGCTGGAAAATCATGCAATGCTCAGCTGAACGAACAGCATACTATCAGTATCAGAAACATTAAGGAAGGTGACACAGAGGACAGAAAATTGGAAAGGACTGCTGGGTCTGATTGGTTTTTTTAGCCTTTTTCTGTATTGTGGAGTACATACAGCCCAGTGATGATTGTCCTCCAAAATTTTATTTAACATGTTCCCTTGTAAGGAGGTGGGAAATTAGAAATACTTGATTTCATCTGATTTTTAATCCTGTACTACAGGCCTTCAGCTTGATCATAGGGTTCTCCAGTGTTTGGAAGGGTAATTGTGTGGGGAAACTGATGTTCTGTAGATCTTCCTGAACTAGCTGTATATTGAAAGGTTGCTTGCTATTGTAGTTGATCTTCCAGTCCTATGATTGGAATTTCCTTGGCAGTTTGGAGGGAAAGGGCAATTTGCCAACTGATACTCTTATAGCTTCCTAAAGATGAAAACCTGTTGACTTCAGCAGAGCTGCTCATAAAAGTCCCTTTCCTGACAGGACTGGGAGTTGCACTAGGAAGCGTTCTTAAGACATGGTAAGTGGCACTGGATGTCGGCCTGCTCTGTTCAGTCAACTCATTCCACAGATCCCACGTTTTATAACGAGGAGGAAACCTGGGTACATGCCTTTGTTTTTAATAGGGAGAATCAAGGAGAAATATTCTATTTTCTTGGATACTCAGAAAATGTGAGTTAACTCTGGTTCCTTAGGTGGGCTTCCAGGGTCGTGGTGTCCTTCTACTTGAAAATGAATCTAAAAATTAGTCAAAATTGTGTAATGTAAGAGAAGTATCCTACAACTTCTTTTTCTCCTCTCTTCTCAAGCCAGTTCTGGAACTGGGAAGGATTGTTGTATTTGTCTTGAAAAAGAGCTAAGTCAATAAGTGTATTTACAGTCACATTAACATCCATCAGGATTTGATTTGATAATTAAGAATGTTTCAAAACCTGCAAGGAACTAGGCTGGATTACTTTTGGGAAGCCTTCTTTCTGTTTTCCACTTTGAATTTTTTACTCTTTTCAGCATAGCAGTGCATGTTGTGTAAAGTTGTTAATCTGTACACATATTTGTGTATCATAAATTTGGAAGCAAAATAAAAGTGGACTTTTTGGTGATGCTTGTATGTATAAAGGTATCAAGGAAAGAGAATAGAGTATGCTTTCCACAGAACTTTTTCAGGAAGAATTATTTGCACTGCAAAAAACCAGAAACCCAACCTTGTTCTAAATTATTAAAAGGAACAGTTTATAATGGAAATGCCAATTCTTAGTTTCACTTTAATGGCCCAGTCAACCGTTTCATGTGTAAAGTGAATCTAAGTACAAGTAAATACTTTAGCTATGTGGAAGATACATTTGCACGCCTCTCCCAGCATTGAGCCGTTTTCTTGAAAGACGTAACAGAATCATTCTCACATTGCATCGGTCCAAGTGAAAAGCCTTTAATGTGTCATGTACACTGGAGAAGGGGGCAAAACAGTGTACCCTCCTTATTGAAAGGTAAGTGAAATCATACTTTTTCATTTGCCAGTGGAGAAGGTGTGTAGTTTGATGGTGTCTGGGAGTAAGGTTGCAGGGAACTGGTAATATAGATGGAGCCTACGCTGTCAAGAGATGATTTTAGATTGAAAGGAAGATGCAGAAAAAGTAGGAATAAAGAAATAAAGGCAAAAGCAGGGAAGTGAAATTCCGTATTGAGGATGAAGAAAAGCAGAAAGTATTGCAACAGGGCAATGGAAGAAGAGATGGACAAAAGCTGCCCATAAACCCCAACAGGCAAAACCCCACAGAGGATGGGCTTTGAAATGATTAGATTAACACAGTTAACAGTATTACGCAAGAACTTTACTATAGTTGCTATTTGCACTATAGTTCAGTTGTTTCTTGATTCCTTTTAAATCAAACACTAACATATTTGTTTTGTTAAAGTTTTTGAAATAGTGAATGCAAAAATTACTAATAGGAACCCTGATCTGTTTTGGGTTTTTATTATTGGTAGAAAACCTCAATAAGTTCAACATTAGTATTTGATAAATTTTAAAAGCATGAGATAAGTGGCAATTAGATGTGCTGACCTGCTGGTAAGATTGATAGTATTATTTCCCAGGCTCTGAGTGCAGAAATGATGGAGGAAGAACAAACCTCTCAAGCATTTTCAGCATTCTTCTCAATACTTCACAGGAATGACTTTTCAGCAAAAACAGTGTTGCTTGTGCACTGATGCTATGGGAAAATTCTACTTGGGAAAAATAGGGAAAAAAAGCAGCATAGAAAAGAAAACAGGAAAATGGAATGAAAGCAAAGGAATAGAGATGCATGAGATCGTGTGCGCAGGACTAACCCTCCGCATGCTGGGACAGTGACCGTGCAGCATACATGACGTGGGGTGTGGGAGCTCTGTGGGATGCGGAGGGAGGTCCAGTACGGGTGCCTGGCTGCATGCAAGCAGCTTTTGCTGTGTCTGAGCCTGTGATCCACAGCTGATGCCAGCTCTGCAGAAACCTGCTCACCTGCTATTCCTGAGTAATACTTAACAGCATTCCTGGCTTTAGGAGGTCAGCTTAGCTTGGGCACAACTCTGTAGCCAGAGTTGGCTCTGTGAGTTCTCTTGTCACTGCATCCCGGCTAATTAGGAGTGACATGAGACTCAGTACAGGGAAGAATTCATTTGTTTAATAGTTCCCAGTCTGTTAACTTGCATACGAAGACTGCTCATGCTCTGACTGTAATAGTCACTGCCAACAAACATGGACATTCTTGCACTCATAGCTTGCTTTAATTTGTAGATTAACCACTGATCACCTATTTTTTGAGGGAAAAAAAAGTAGATTTCT